CCACGACCCCTCCTAGAGCGGGACAGAGAAGCCAAGAGCGCAAAAGGATCGAGCCTTACGGCGAAAGAAGTAGCCTCGGCGTCTCTGGCCGCCCCCAAGCGTCAGGTTACGGCCAGCATTCTCTACCGCCGACAAACAGCTGGGGGCAGTCCCAGCCCACATGGGTGAATCCCGGACCAACCTATCCAGCAGAGACAGCATACGGCCCGCTCCACATTTTGGCCGAAGCTTTAGGGAAGAATAGCCCTGCGCTGTCTACGGTCCAGCAAATCAGCCCAGCCTATACTTTGGCCGACCAGGCGCATCCCGGACAGAGCGACGTAACCGAAGCGTCAGCACAACAAGACGAGCAGAATGGCTTGACCGCTGCACTACCAGTACAAATACACGGTCCGGCCATTCCGACGACAACGCAGATGCACCTAGGTTCCCATTATAATGCAATCCAACAGAACCAGGTGGCCATACATCGATGGCCGACGGACCAAACGTACATCGGTCAAGCCCACGGCGTTCTTCTAATACCACCCGGCTCGGTCGCAGCGGCCGAGCCCTTTGCTCGAACGACCCAGCAGGAAAGGCCGCGAAACAATGCGCAACAGGGTGGGCCTTTCCAAGGGTTTCAGTTCGAAGATATCCGGCCTATCATGAAAACACAGGGGGAGCTCGGGGCACCAGGGTGCACAAAGCCGTACCTATCAGGGAAGCCCATAGGTTGGCACAACTTATTTCCTAAAGCTGGTTTGGCACGCCGCATCCCAAAAAACTCGGTCGTAAACACACCTCCTTGCATCTCGGCCTACGGCCACGGCACTGATAGGCTATTGGAAATGGGGGTTCGATTTCTTCAAATTGTCAAGCGACATAGCCAAAAGGGGAATGACTACTCGCGAACCATGCCCTAGAGTTCAGAAAATTCAGAACGATCGAGACTCGACGCCTACAACTCGGTGCAAGTCCCAGAAAAAATGGCATCGAGGGCCTACGACAAAAAAGTCAAAAAGATTTGATCTTATAGAAAAAAAGGGAGGGGGGGGCCTGGCCTTATATTTAGATTAGTGAGTGTTCTTTACAAAAAGGGTGAACGGCCAATCATGACCAATCGAAGAAAAATACAGATGTTATACGAAAGTAAATGTAGAATAAAAGGTATATTTGTAGCTAATTATTAAATCCCAAAAGATATTTAAAAACAGCCGCTCGCCGCTCGTCTAGATCCCCTCGCTAAACATCTCCCAGATGAGGCAGGTGGTCTTTCTCCAGGCGATATCACCACTTAACCATCTCATCCAGACAATATCTCGACGCACGGTAGACCGTGCTGGCACGCCCGCGCACAACCGCACCGTATCCAAAAGAAGGAAGCCACGTGTTAACGCATATCCCCTCGGCCCGGATCACCAGGGCGTAAGATTTGCGCAGCCGACAAGGATATGTGTTTATGATGGGTACAAAGGCAGTTGCTTGATCATCTAAGAAGCAGCCGATTGTGACTTTATCAAAAACTGAAGCTGAATTTGTTGCAGCAACATCCTGTGCATGCCAAGTCATTTGGCTGAAAAGGTTAATTGAAGAAATTCACTACATGCAGCAAGGTCCAACGTCAATCTATTGTGATAATGTTTCTACTATTAAGCTTTTGAAAAATCCAGTTTCACACGGAAGAAGTAAACATATTGATGTGAGATATCATTTTCTTCGTGCTCTCTGCAAGGTTGATGTAAAAGTAAGGACCAAATTGCTGATATTTTAACCAAGCTTCTCAAGCTGCCTGTGTTTGTGAAATTGAGAAATTTGTTGGGAGTTAGTTCTTTGAAGGATGTTGCTTGTTGCCATTAATGGTTGAATAATTGTAGTTTTACCTTTAGGAACTTGTTTGTTTAGTTGCTAGTTAATAGAAGAGTCCAAGTTGTCATGGAGTCATGGTTAGTGGCTAAATGTCATGATTTAGTCATGCTTAGTTGTTCCTATTATTTAGCTTAGTTGCTTTGTTAGTTCGCTATTTAAGGTTTATTTAGTATTTAAGTTGAATGTGAAGAGAAGTTTGAATTCCACAAATAAGGTTTATTTAGTATTTAAGTTGAATGTGAAGAGAAGTTTGAATTCCACAAATACGTTCTTGGTTCTTCACCTGTTTCCTTATTTCACAACAGTTTTGATTTCAATTTACATGCACACTACTATTACATAACCAGTAAAAATGGCATTGAGTTTCAAACTGATGGACTAGTCTGTGTGAGCTGTCTTTACCTAGTTGAGAAAGTAGATGTTAGCTCAATCTTAGAATATGCTTGATTCAAACTATCTTGATCAAGATCACCCACTTGCATCTCTTGTGGACATAGAAAAGGCTTGGGAGGCAATTTCAAGAATTCAACACCGCCTTCGAGCATCTCTATGACTTTCTTCATCGAAGGACGATCACTTGGCTTCATTTGTATACACCATAAGGCCGTTATAACCATTTTTTTCATGATTTCCTTTTCCTCCTCTGGTACATCGCCCATCTCCAAGTCCTTCCCCTCATTATATTGATCATAAACCCATGAAGGGAAGTAGATTTGGCTTGAATGCTCTGCAAATGCATTTAAATTCTTCCTTCTGCTTGTCATTTCCATTAACAACATTCCAAAACTATAAACATCAGCTTTAAACGAAACACCCCCAATATTCTTGTAGAATAGCTCTGGAGCCATGTATCCCATTGTTCCCCTTGCTGCTGTCAAAGAGACAATGCTATTATCTATGGGATATAATTTTGCAAGTCCGAAGTCAGAAATCTTTGGGATGAAATTCTCGTCAAGAAGAATATTGTGAGGCTTGATGTCAAAATGTAAAATTTGCATGTCACAACCTTCATGTAGATATTTGATTCCTCGAGCCACTCCAAGGGAAATCTCAAATGTTTTTTTGCAATTTAAGGGGATACTTCCTTCTTTGGAATAAATGTACTTATCAAGAGACCCATTGGGCATGAAGTCATATACTAGAGCACGCTTTGATCCCTCGGCGCAATAACCCACAAGTTGCACCACATTAACGTGGTGAATCCGACCAATTGTAGCTACCTCATTGATAAACTCTTGACCATTAGCTTTCGGCTTTCCTAACATCTTAATTGCTCCAAAACGGCCACTTCGTAATTTCCCTTTGAATACAGATCCATAGCCTCCTTCACCCAACTTGTCCTTGAACCCACCGGTCATCCTTTTAATGTGATAATAAGAGTACCTTATTGGGATGAAGTTATCACTCCGTAGAAAATCCTCTATAGTTGTATACATTGAAATATGCCTTATCCTCCACTTATAGATCAAGATGCCAATACCCAACATAAATCTTGCAAGAAAAAATCCAACTGTACACAAAAATTACAAAATAGTACTCATTATTCCTCTTGCTTCAAATATAATATTTATTCATGCATAATAAATAATATTAAAGCAAGGAACAAAAGCTCGTACCGATGACAAACATCACCACTCGATGTTCGCGAAGAAATACTACAAATTGAGCAACATTAGATGATGTTAGAAAGTTGCAAGTGAAAAATGAATTTCTAAAAATAAAAGGGTGATAACAATGTTTAAATGATCAATTAGGTCAAATAATTGTTCTCATATAACTAAAACCATACGTTGAGAATATTCTAGTTAGTTTACAAAACAACTACACTAGTTGTGTGTTGGCATGACTTGTGGACCTGCATTTACTTTCCTTACACACCCAAGATTCCTATATTAAATGTAATTGATTTACTTTAATTCATGATTTCCTACTATAAATAGAATTATGAGTTATTACTTTACTTGACCTACAAAGATTTCTCTTGTATTATAAATATGACCTCCTACAAGTAGAAGAATACACTTAAAATTCCCACAAATAATATTCTCTTATAAATTTCATATTTTAGCATGGTATCAGAGCTAGGTTCTTGGGATTGCTGCTAAACTCTAGCCAACCACACGTTGACCCGCCATGGGGGATCAATATCCAATCATCCCCCATGGATGTAGCATCACCGATTCCTCTACCTCCCAGATCTAGAAACTAAAAGAATTGAAGACCCAGATGAACCAATTTTTGAAAATCTAGAGTTAGACCCTGACCCAAAACATTGAAGAATTGATGACCTATATGACCCAATTTTTAAAGGTACAAAACCAGGCCTCGACCCCGACCCAACCCTGATCTTAGAAGAATTGATATCAAGAATGACCCAATTACTGAAAAAGAGCCTAACTCATACTCAGACTCAGACTCAGACCCATATACTAACCAAGACTCAGATCCCAACCCCGACCCTAAATTAGACTCAAACCCATATCTTGACCAAGATCCACACCCATATACCGACCCAGACTATACCATATAAATTTTTCGATGCCCATATTATGACTTTTCGAACAGAACTCCAAATAAATAGAATAGATTCACATACTGTGGTGATCCGAGACACATTCGTGAGATTGTTTCAAATTGAATGGCTAACTCAATTCGTGGGATGAACTCAAAGATCAAAGACGGTATGAAGCTTCCAAGAGTGGTTCTGGTTATGTATTCCATACTTCGAATACAAGTGATTCAACGAGATAGATCATTAACTCTAACGCAACCGATCATATGACATTTGATCCAATGGAGTTACTTATGCTGTGACAGGGGCTGGCACTGTTGCTCTCTCGTCCTCTCTGTCATTGCCTAATACTTTACTTGTTCCATCTTTATCCAATAAGTTGATCTTAGTTGGTCAATTACTAAACAATTGAATTGTTAATCTATCCGAATTTTCGTTTGCTTCAGGATATTCACACTAAGGAGATTATTGGTCGAAGTACTAAAAGAGAGGGCTATATTATGTAGATGACTTTAGTATAGGCATGGCTAATAGTGTGACACATTCCTCTAATAGCAAACAAAGAAAAATCTAGTTGTGGCACTATCGTTTGGGGCATCCATCCTTTAGTTATATGAAACATGTTCTACCAGATTTATTCTCAGGTTTCAAAGACTCCGACTTCAAATGTGACACTTGTATTTTGGCCAAGATTAACCGTGTGTCCTAACCGTTTACGTTAATTTACTCTGATGTCTGGGGACCCTTTCGTTCAGCAAGATACAACTTGTCCTCAGACACCACAACAAAATGGTGTTGCATAACGAAAGAATCGACATCTTAGCCCGAGCATTTCTAATTGGTGCTCATGTTCCTCGCCATCACTGGGATGATACTATCGTCACTGCAGTTCACCTAATCAACCACGCCTCCTAGTGTCTTGAACTTTAAAACTCCATTATAAGTGCTCGCACAACACGTGCCCCTACCCTCTGTTTTGGTGCTCACACCTCGAATCTTTAGATGTGTGGCCTTCGTTCATCTCCACAAAAATCAAAGCAGCAAACTTGATCCATGTGCCCTTCGTTGTGTTTTTGTGGGATATGTCACTCATTAGAAAGGCTACCGATGTTATCATCCTCCTTCTCGGCGCATGCATGTCACTATGAATGTCACTTTTTTGGAGTTCGAGACATTCTTTCATGACTCAGTATCCAATTCTTCGCTTCAGGAGGAGACATAGAGTGAATCACAAACTTGGAGAACCTTAGAAGATGGAAAAATCGACGCATGGACGAAAACGATCAATTGTTCTGACAATAATGACCTATCGCTTCAAACAGTAAGCTCCTTGGACAAAACGATCAGTAGTTCTGATTCTAACGACTAGTGGCCTCAAATAGTAGAACAAGATAGCTCACCTCGGGATAAAATGACCAGTAGCCCTGAAGAATTCGATTGGTTGCCTATGTTTGAAACGTCCCCGGATTTGACTACTTCTAACTTTCTTGAGAAAGAAGACGAACCTAAACACACTAAAGACCCCTCTCATTCAACAGTACCAAACAACCAATCTCCTGAGAATATCCTTGAGGTAAATATTCCTACAACTCGTGTGAATTTAGTTGATGATTATATTGGATGCCAATTACCTTTTAGGCACAGCCATGGAAAACCACCAAACCGATATTCTCCTGATATTGGGAAGATGTCAAAGTACCCAATTGCCAATCATGTGTTCACTCAAAGACTGCATGAACCACGGAAGGCGTTTATGCATCAGTTATGTGTTATTTCCATTCCCACTAAGGTGACTGAAGCATTGAAATATCCGAAGTGGACCCAAGCAATGAAGGAAGAACTAAAGGCTATGGAGAAAAATCAGACATCGACGCTGGAGATATTACCCTCAGTAAAAAAAACAGTTGGATGCAGATGGGTGTTGACTATCAAACGCAATGCCGATGGGTCCATTGAACGATACAAGGCCAGACTTGTGGCAAAAGGGTATACATAGACCTACAACATCGATTATGAAGAAACCTTTGCCTTCGTAGCAAAGCTTAACACAGTCAGAGTGCTACTATCACTTGCAGCTAACTTGGATTGGCCATTCCATCAGCTTGATGTAAAAAATGCTTTCTTGCATGGTGAACTCACAGAAGAAGTTTACATGGACATTTCACCAGCATATACAACATCTACTCAGACTAGTATGGTGTGAAAGTTGCGAAAGCACTATACGGTTTGAAATAGTCACCACGTGCATGGTTTGGACAATTCACTTTGGCAATATTGAGGAATTTTGGGTTCTAACATAGCAATTCAAATCATACTCTGTTTTTGAAACATCAGAAAGGTTAGGTAATAGCTTTAATAATTTATGTTGATGATAAGATTATTACTGGGAATGATGAACATGAAATATTTCGGTTGCAAGACTATTTAGATACTAAATTTAAGATGAAGAATCTAGGTGGACTCAAGTATTTCTTGGGGATTGAGATGGCCTGATCAAAGCAAGACATATTTCTATCTGAAAGGAAATATGTCTTGAACTTGCTGACAGACACATGAATGCTAGATTGAAAATCTATAGACACTCCTATTGTTCATAATCATCATCTTGGAGAATATTCGGATCAGGTTCCAACTAATAAGAAAAGATACCAAAGGTTAGTGGGAAGATTGATCTATTTGTCACATACTCGACCAAACTTTGCTTATGCGGTGAGTGTAGTCAGTCAATTTATGCATTCTCCAACTGAAGACCACATGAATCTAGTTCTTCGAATACCTAGATATTTGAAGTCTGCACCCGGAAAAGGACTTATGTTCTCAAAACATGGTCATCTAAATATTAATGGTCACAAAGATGCAGATTGGGCAGGAAGTATAATGGATAAGAAATCCACATCCGGTTACTTCACATTCGTGGGAGGTAATTTGGTTACATGGAGGAGCAAAAAATAGAAGGTGGTCGCCTTATCCAGTGCAGAAGCCGAGTTCAGAGGTATGACCAAAGGAATTTGTGAACTCATTTGGTTAAACAGGTTGCTTACTGAACTTGGGTATAGACCTACGTCTGCAATGAATCTCTTTTGTGACAATAAGGCTGTAATAGCTATTGCACAAAATCCAGTTCAACATGATCGCACCAAACATGTTGATGTAGATCGACACTATATCAAACAAAAGTTCGAAGCTAAAGTGATTCAGTTTCCTTTCATAAAGTCCAAGGATCAATTGGCGGATATTTTGACAAAGACAATTTTCAATAGAGCGCTCCACAATTCATTGGACCGGTTGGGCATTGTTGACATCTATGCACCAACTTGAGGGGGAGTGTTGGCATGACTTGTGGACCCTCATTTACTTTCCTTACACACCAAGGATTCTTATATTAAATGTAATTGATTTTCTTTAATTCATGATTTCCTACTATAAATAGAATTAGGAGTTATTACTTTCCTTGACCTACAAGGATTTATTGT